ACCAAAAAGGGCAATTTTATTCCTCCAAGATTAATTTTGCCGGACAAGGTTTAGCTGGAACTCTTGCTACTTCAGTAACAAGTCTTGATCATTTAGGAGCTCAGTTTCAAGCCCATATTTATAGTTCTACAATCATCCAATCCACATCTCCTTCGTCCTTGTTGCATGCTGCGAAAGATCCAATTAAACAAAAAAGCCTTCGTTGTAATAGTCCTACAAATATGCTAGACAACGAGCTAGAAGTAATGGAAAATTCAAAAGTTTCTTCAGGAGTGCCTCTTGACCTGACCCTAAAGTCTATAATCCAAATCGCCCCCACGCATTTATCTGCAAGACACGGAATTCAGATCCAGAATGGGGTTAAAAGCCAGGAAGAAATGCCTACACAGTATGAGGCAACTTATCTCAAAGATAACCAAAGTGAAGTAGGCTTGAGTATCATGTCTTTAACACCTTTACTCGTACAGTCTGCGCCACCTCGGCTTACAGTTTCAGCTAATCCCAATTCTGAAAAAAACAGGATGGATGTAACATCTATAGATGACCTTGTAACTTATAATGCCCCTGATCTTAGTAACAGTAACTTACCAAACCCACATCTAGTTCAAAAGGAAGACTATGGACGCATAATTTTTCCTCAGGATCATGCTAGTCAATTGGCAATAAAAACAGAGTATTCGCAGGAAGAACTAGTTGGCTCCAACTCAAGACACGGTGCGGTATCTTCAGATACTCCTGGCTTGTCGAAACTAAATATAGGTTCTGATGATAACTTATCAGGCTCTGAGACTCTGGCAGGCCAACATGAGTTCTGGAGAATGAGGAACATGGATGTGGCAGAAGAAACTAAAACAGTTGCGAGATCCCATATCGAAGACATAGCCTCTACTCACTTACTTAGTCGTCCAATTTCAGACGTAGAAACCAAATTTACTGATGATCTAAGTACCGTATTGACAGACTCAGCTCTACTTGGATACAAAGAGGTTGGACAACAAGTTCAAGAAACAAGAGCTGCATCGCCATTACTCGAAACTATGGAGGAATGTGATAGACTTAATAATCTAATCCTGAAAGATGGAGAACTCGAAATTATCACGAAGACTACAACTGAAATTATCGCACGGCCTACAAAGACTGTAACTGCAACTTCAACTAAAAATAGTCCCTTATTTGTTAAACACTCGGAGTGTAGTTTCACCCTAAAACCCAAAGAAGAGTCAACGATAGATGTCTGCCAGTTTCAACCGCAAATCAATAAAGAAAAACTTTTAAATTCTCAGGAATTATCGAATCAAGTGGAAGTTTCCAAGATGAGAGACACAATTTTAGATCCGGAACGTCGTCCGCTATCACTTAATACGACCATAACTTGGCCATCCAGTAATTACCATCAAAAATACACTAATTCCACTCCTGATAGACCTGTTCAGTCCTTAATGGAGACAGTCGATTTGGCCTCATTCGACGCTTTACACATACCTTTAAACTCGGATCTTCAGATATGTGAGAGCCGGCACGTGCTTGCTTCCAAAGAGAAAAAGGCAAAGACCACGGTCTGTCCTAGCCCGATGTATTCATCTTCCGTAGCTGCCATGACAGGTGCGCCTCAGTTGACTGGTCATCGCCCATATATGGAAAAAAATTCATTTCTACTCTTTCCTTCAATCCTATTTGATTACCAAGGTCAGCCATTTTTGTACGATTTAAAGCGGATAAATTCAAAGGAACGCAAAAAACGAGATAAAGCAACACTAGGAACTTTGGATGCAATGATTAGAGACACATTACAAACAGTACGACATCATCGTCTGGCCTAGAGTCTAAAAGACCTCTAAAGAATTTACAAGCCTATACGGTTCATGTATCTGGCAATAGCATGTCTTACAAGGAAACCCGCTATTTCTCTAAAAAGCTTTTGGAAAAATTGCATGTGGACATAGAGTTCTGGCAGTTTATTTTTTAAAAGTGAATTTAATTTCCTATTTGTCTAAAAAAATGTCTCGATTTTTGGGCCCAAAATGGCATTTTTATTAAACAGTATATCCAAGGGATAATCTAGTCTGCATTGCAGAAATTTTATAAAATTTATTCAATTATTAATTAAACTAAACTTAATTTTTCACTGTTTATTTTTGCTTTAGCAATGGTTTGTTATTGAAATATGTAGGATAAGAATCATAGCATGGAAAAAAGTTTATTTGGGATAAATGCATGTTGATGTTAAAATCACTTAGAACTATGATAGAAAAGTTGGAGAAGTGGTTCGTTTCACTCATAATTGTAGGAAGCAATATGTTATAAGATTATTACTAGTAATTAAATAAGAAGTGTATTTAGCATGAGCCTTCATTTACTAACAAAGAAAATACATTCAAATTTAAAAATTAAAAATACTAGTTCATAAAAATTGTCTAAACGTAACTATATATAAATGCTGAGCATATCGAAAATGGGCAAAAACAGAATTTCATTCTAGATAAGAGGAACATTTGAGGGGACAAGCATAAGTAAAATTCAAGAAAACCATAAGGCCAACTAACTTCATCTAAGGAAACATAACTTTCACCTTTAGAGCCATAGGATAACCTAATTTCTTATATGAGATTTATTCACCCTATTTCGTTTTAGGTGATGAAGGACTGATTGTACAATTTTCCCACAGTGATATGAATAGAACTGACGTTTCCAGTGAATTTTACGTAGGCTTGCTTCCCCAATAGTTGTTCTTATCCAGGGTGGACTGCAGTTTCGACCTCGCATATGCCTTATCAACACCCCCAGCGGGAGCCTCACTGTTACAGTGCAGAATGTGAACTTGACACCTTAACCATTCGGCAACATTGTCACGAGTGCCCTTATGTCACAGGGCAGCCCCAGTCATGCCTTTCCTTGGGTGGTTAAACCTTAATGACCCTAGATTGAAAGGTTAGGACAAGTAATTTCGTAATTCGACTCACACACAGAAAAGCTTACATCTCATTACCTCAACCATACTTGACTACGAACTTACGCCTTTTCTTGGCTCATTAAGCCTTGAGGACCAGAATCTGGCATTAGTCTACTTTGAGAACTCTGAGTTAGGACCGGTATTATGTATAACGTTAACGCACAGACACACACACTCGAGCAAAAGTAGCAGATCTAGTATGAAAGATAATTAGCCAAACCATCCTATATCTATCTATACCTATTCACTTTTGTTTGCAATTATGAGTATATATAAGAGATTAGAAAAAGCCGGATATTCTTACTGGCCTAAAGTTAACGTGATACTTTTAAAAGAATGACTTCCAGTTCTGATTATGTTCATCATATAATGGACATAATCTCAACCCTTTATTATCCAAAAATAGATCTCATGTCTCGTGGACTGCGTCAACATGAACTTCGTATTAAAGCCAAACAATCTCATTACAACTGGATTCACCTGTCGTCTTCTGATAAGATCAACCTCCGAATCTCTTATTCATTCACTCTCATACGAAATGCAGGTCCCTCCAAATAGTTCCTTACATAACATTTGTTTGTAGATACGAAGGAAACTGGGTTTCGATTAATCTCCTGAGATAACAGTGTTAGGGGACTTTCATTTCGTATAAAAGTGCATGAAGAAAAGATTCGTTAGGCGATCTCACCCGACCGTGGTGCTAAGAGGGGTCACGCTCACTGACGATGCCGACTACGCTGCCGGACAAATTTCTTGTATCGTACAAATTCCATGGTCCGACTCTATTAATTATTATGAACACTATGGACTCAGGACAAAGTGATTTCCTCTAGTTCTTCCTGTCAATATGACCAAGTTGCACGAACAAGGTCAAACCATATTCGTATAAGAGTAGGGTTTCGA